AAAATCAAGGAGGTCAAGGACACTGTGTTGAGGTTGTTTCTTTTCCGTAACCTCTTGTCTCCCGGCTGTGCTGCAGGACAACACCAACCCTGCGAAGAAGCAGAAGAAGAAAAAGCAGAAATGAGGCCTGACTCTCAGCTTCATGCATGCTCTACATGTCATCATTGCAACAAGCCCTGGCCCGCAGGCATCTGGCTGACTCTGAGCTAGCCCGGTGGCTGTCCAGGGCTTGGGTTTGGGTGAAGGCCAGCACATGATCTCAAGACAAGTCAATTTTCACCCGTAGAGTAGCAGCAGCTGCCCCTAAACAAAAAGGTTCCTTGCACCAAGAGCAGCCATTCACCTTCAACCCTTTGAATGGGCAGCCACTGGCATTGTGTCACAGCTGTTGCCAGGTCTGGAATTGCTCCATTTTCCCTGGTTGTTGAAAGACACACCCAAAGCCATGAAAAAAGCCAATTCACGGGAAGACCTTTAAACACAACCCGGGAATTTGAGGCTATTTGGAATCAAGCAGCAGGCGGCAGGCAGAGCAAATGCAAGCTACATGCGCCAGCGCACAAACCAACCAGAAACACGTATGTTTGGGGCCAAGTAGCTTCTGCCTGGCGTATGGCTGCTTGAGATTGAAAGCCTTGTCGCACGTGGCCAAGAGTTGCCGAGAAAAAAAGTCCGCTCCAGGGACACATTCTGTGAATCTCAAACTGACACTGGTCGAAAGTTGCTTGCAGCTGCTTTGACTTTGCAGGGTGGGAGTTGAAAGGTCAAGCCTGCCTGTCTGCCAAGGAATTCGGGCTTGCGCTACACGTTCTTCGGCAGCTGCTCCTGGATGGCACGCAGGCGCTGTGCTGAGCAGGCGCAGCAGGCCAGGGTTTGGCGCTGAACAAGCGTAGGATGTAGTGTGCTGAGCAAGCACATGTTGGCGCTAAACAAGCGTTGGATGTAAACAACATGGTGCTGGACAAGCACACGCTGAGCAAGCACTTCTGAGTGAACGCTGTGCTGAACAAGTGCATTTCAGTGCTGAACAAGCACACAGTGCTGAACAAGCACTCAGGTCAACGTTGTGCTGAACAAGCACAGTTCAGTGCTGGACAAGCACACAGTGCTGAACACTTCTGAGTGTTGAACCCTGTGCTGAACAAGCGCAGTTCAGTGCTGGAGGTGCTGAACAAGCACTTCTGAATCTGAGTGTTGAATGCTGTGCTGAACAAGCGCAGTTCAGTGCTGGACAAGCACGTGGGGTCTAAATGAGGCTGAGCAGCCAGCGGCCTCCTTCGTTGCAGCCGGCCGGCCGCTGTCGTTCGCTGCGGGCGCGCGAGCCAGCGAGAGCCATTCAAGCTGGGGAACCCAGGGAAGGGAGGTCGCCTTTGGGTCCTGGAAGGTCGCCTTTAACCACGGGGAGGTCGCCTTCGGGTCTTGGGACGTCGCCTTTGAGCAGGGGGAGGTCGCCTTCCGGTGAGTCAGCGACCTCCCCTTCTCCTGCAAAGCAATATTTGCTTACCAAAATTCCATTTAAAACACTGCAAACAGCAACCTCCAGTTGTCAATTTGACATGTTGACAGGTGTAATTCCAGCTTCAAGCTGGCAGCCGTGCGTTGTGTCCACATGCGCGCTATGACCAGCCTCAACTCAGCTCAATAGTCCAGAGTCCACTATAGTGTTAAAGCCAGTATGAAGACAAGAAGCTGCAGAAGCTGCTGTTGTTTTCAGCCATTAGTCAACAAGCTGTAGTTTGCACCGTCCTTTTGAACACTTCAATAGCCCATCTTGCTTCTGAGGCCCTTGCCAGGCTGCCGCTCGATTCAGGCCGCCTGCTTTGTGTTTGGGAAAGCGCTTGTCCAATCGGCTTGCAGCACATGCAGCAGCGTCCAGCCTCTGGCTCAAAGACATTAAGCATGTCTGAGGGTCAGAGAAGAAGCTTGCAAGCGCCCGGCAGCAAGGAAGCCAGAGCTGCCGCCAGCCAGAGCTGCCGCTGCTGCCTCTGGGCCGCGGGCGCTGCCTGTCCTGCGGCTTGGTGTGCAATTCCTACATGTCTGTTGACAAGCTACATTTCATTGAGGTTCAAGTTGCCAACTGCGCAGCCCAGGCCGCAATTCCCCATGCCGTCGTGCCAGGCCGATTTGGGGCCCCTCAGATTCGATATTTCTATGTTGTTGATATTCTAGCCACGGGCTCATCTCAAGGCAGTGGGCCTTCACCCTGCTGAGCCGCACTGCGCTGGTGCTTGGGGACGCCTTTGTCAAGAAGAAGCTGAGCCCATTGGCTCAGTCACTCAGACAATAGGCAGCCTGGCAAGTTTGCTTTTTCCTAGGCACTGCCCGCATCAAGTGCTACGACTTGTTCGCTGGGTGCCTATGCGCGCGCAAAGCGTGGGAGATGATAGAGGCTGCAGCGGCAGAGATGTGGGGGATCAAGGTGCAGATTCAGTTCAACTTCATGGAAGCTAGGCTTTGATTGGTTGGTCTATTTTTGCTGTACGTTATTTCACTCTGTTGCAAAATCTCTTTACAAGTTTCTTGTGTTTTTGTTTATGTGTTGCATTCAAGAAGGCTATCTTCCTGCACCCCGTGTGTGTGTGTGTGTGCGTCTTTCAGCTCTGGGGTCCTGTTTTTAAGTTGCAAACCCATTGCGCCTTGTTTAGACTTGACGCCTCTTCCTTTGATTGACTCCCCCACAATTGCGCTGCAAGCTAAGCCTCAAACCACGCAAGCCCATCACAGACCCCACAGAGAGCAGCGAGTGACAGTCTTCTTGTTGGCCTGGCCCTGGAAGTGGCATCCTCTTCAACCACACGCCCAAACCCCAGATGATACCCTCTGAACCCTAAAATATGCGCACACACACACACGCGCATGTGTGTGTGTGTGTGCTTGGGTGGGTGGCTGGGTGGGTGCTTGGAGGCTCAACCTGCTTAGTAAGTATTTAACGCTGTTAGAGCATTTATGTATGTGTCATATCATGAGTTGCAACCACATTTTATTCATTGCAAAATGTAGTTATAAATGGTGTAGATGTAGTTAAGTGTGAGAGAGAGAGAGACGAGTGCGTGGCAGTAGCTGGTGTGCATGCACATGCGCATGTCAGTGCGGATGTGCGTGCGTTCATGGGTGCGTGGGTGCATGGGTGCGTGGGTGGCGTGTGTGTGTGTGTGTGCACACATGCGCGCATGGGCGTGTGGTGTGGGTGTGTTTGCGCGGTTGTGTGGGTGGTGTATGTGTGTGGGTCCGGGTGTGTGTGTGTGTGTTGTGTGTGTGGGTTTGTGTGTTTGTCCAAGTTTGCGTGTTTGTGTCTCTGTGTCTCTCTGTCTCTCTGCGTCTTTGTGTCTTTGTCTCTGAGTCTGTGTGCCTCTGTTTCTCTGGGGTTCTGCCGCAGCTGTGCTGTCTAAGACTCTAGGCTGGATAAGTGCAAGCCTTACACCAGTTGCGCTGAGCAAGCGCCAGCTTCAGCACTGAACAAGCGCTGGGGGCCCTGAGCAAGTGCTGCTGAAAACGCCGGCCAGGGCTGAGCTGGCTGAACAAGTGCTTGTTTCAGCGGGACAAGCCGCTAGGGGGTGCTGAACAAGCGCTGGTTTTCAGCGCTGAACAACGCTGGTTTCGGTCAAGCCGCCTCGAAGCCCTGACGGCTGGACAAGCTGCCTGGCAGTGCTGAACAAGCGCTGCGCTGAACAAGCGCTGGTTTTGGTCGAGCCTGGACAAGGTGCCTGGGGGCGCTGAACAAGCGCTGGGCCAGGCGCTGAACAAGCGCTGGGCCAGGCGCTGAGCAAGCGCTGGGGCAGGTGCTGAACAAGCGCGTCAAGCCGCCGCTGATGTGCTGGACAAGGTGCCTGGGGGCGCTGAACAAGCGCTGGGCCAGGCGCTCAAGCAGTGGGCCAGGTGCTGAAGAAGCGCTGGTTTTGGTCAAGCCGCCGCTGATGTGCTGGACAGGGTGCCTGGGGGCGCTGAACAAGCGCTGGGCCAGGCGCTGAACAAGCGCTGGGCCAGGCGCTGAACAAGCGCTGGGCCAGGCGCTGAACAAGCGCTGGGCCAGGCGCTGAACAAGTGCTTTGGTCAAGCCGCCGCTGATGTGCTGGACAAGGTGCCTGGGGGCGCTGAACAAGCGCTGGGCCAGGCGCTGAACAAGCGCTGGTTTTCAGTGCCAATCAAGCACTGGTGTTGGTGAAGCCGCTGCTGATGCGCTGGACAAGGTGCCTGGGGGCGCTGAACAAGCGCTGGTTTTCAGCGCTGAACAAGCGCTCGCATCAGGGTGCTGAACCAGCACTGGATATGTTGCTACATGCGCTGGGCAGGCGCTTCTTTCAGCTCCAGACAAGCTGCCTGGGGGCGCTATTTCTGGCAGCTCTGTCCATCATCATCAAGCTTGGAGTCAGCATATTAAACTAGATGGCATTGTGAACAGCTTCCGGACTGCTGAGCAACCCCGCTGGACAGCGTTCAATTTCGGCTATGCTCATGTCCTGACTGTTTCTTTCAAAGGCACGCTCTCCTGCCCGCTGAACAAGCTGCCTGGGATGCTGAACAAGCCAACCCAGAGTGCTGAAAAAGCACAGAGCGCGCCACACAGCTTTTAATTTTCTGGTCTCCCAGCCCAAGGGATGAACAAGCCGCGTGGGATGCTGAACAAGCCAACCCAGAGTGCTGAACAATCAAGCCAACTGGTACCACACACTCTTTGCAGCTTTCCTTTTCACGCTGAACAAGCATCGGCTGGTTTTTTTCTAGTTAGGGCTGAACAAGCCGCCTGGATGCTGAACAAGCCAACCCGGAGTGCTGAACAAGCCAACCGGCGTGCTGAAAAAGCACAGAGTGCCAACATGCCAGACAGCTTTCCTTTTTGGTGCTGAACAAGCACACAATGATGGCTGTTTTCTCTGCTAATTGCTGATGTCCTATTTCTAGAAAAGGCGCGTCCTAACCTGGCTCCGGGCCTTGCAGTCCAAGCGTGGCCAGCAACAACCAAGGTCGAGAAGAGCCGCGTGTGCATCAAACTGTGCAAGCAGATGTACCCCGACAAGTGCATCTTCGCAGACATTCTTGGCATGTTGGACCAGCCCCCCACCGCGACCGACGAGTGGCTTCCTGCCAAGTTGAAGCTTCGGGAGACCTGCCACTGTGTGCAGCACAAGCAGAAGTTCCTTGACTGGCTGTTGTTAAATCCTTGGCAGTTTGATTGAGACAGAGAGCTTATGACCAACACCAAGGTGTCCTATACGCTTTGACTCTGACAGCAACAATTGTGCAATCATTGGGGCACCTTGTGTTACTTGGAGCAGGCCAGGGCTTTTTTGGCATTCTTGGCCCTTACAGAACTTTACTTTCTATCACCAGGTACGGCAAGCGGGAAGGACTCAGCAACCTAGCCATCAAGAAGGTTCACGACACCGCAACAGCGTTTCAGATGCGCACAGACATGTCTGTGCACGAGAATGTGCCAGACTACGAAGACGACTACCTGGACAAGCACCTGAAAGGTCACACCCGGCAGAGAGTCCTGCCAGGGCCCCAAGTTGTTGAGCTCCCTGAGGCCTGACTCTCACTGGTATTTTCTCTGAGGTTGTGTCCCAGACGCTTTGGCCACCCTAATGGACGCTTGCGGTCCTGGCGCATCACCTTCAACACGCAGAAGAAGCACTGGTCATGCACGTGGAGTTTGGAGGAGTTGGCGGACGCCATTTTGGCGCCCCTAGGCACAGCCTCCAAGCTGACCTATGACGTCTACTTTGCCATGCCCGAGGTTGCGTTCGAGCACGACACTGCGCGTCTTGCAGAGCACACCTTGTCCAGGCGCGGGCGTGCATCACTGCTCGCCTTGTGTTGCCATTGTGTTGCACTCACTTGTCAATTACTGACCCTGAGGTGCCAGAAGCAGCACCTGGAGCAATTTCGCACTGACATCCCGTTGTGCAGCTTGTATGACTTAAGCGCAAACTGCCGGAAGAGGAGGCGCACAGAGAACACTGACCTTGCAATGCCGTGCCTTACCACCAGCTCGCAGCTGTGGCTTCCTGGCTCTAATGGTCGTGTCACACACAGTGATTGCCAAATCCTCAGAACAGCAGTGAGTGATGTTCAGGTGCGACAAGAGGAGAAGGCTGATGACCGGGAAGGAACAATTGGCAGTGCTCACTTACCCATCTACAGCTGCAGTTGCGGCATCAGCAAGGGTTGCACCTGGCCTCAGTCACCGTTTGCATAATTTCAATTTGTCACACCACAGCCGTGTGTGCTTTGCACTACTTTCTTTCTGTCTGCTCAGGATCTGGCGCCGGTCGAGCACTTGAGCGAAAGCTCTCTGCGAAAAATGGGTGGAAATGGAATGAGCCTGCCTTGCGCTGGCTTCACCTTGCTCATGGCTATCCTGAATGTAGAGGATGTTCTTTGAGGCACTTGCTGGACAGATAGGCGCAGATAGGATGCGGCGCCTTGGAGCAGAAAAAAGAACTGCGCTCTATTCACCATGTCAACATAGCTCATGACCACAGGCGCTACCGGCCTGCATGTTTCAATGCCGCACTGCGCCTTGAGTTAAAATCCACACTCAGCTGGTCACTGGCTCGAAGCTTCGGATTTCAGAATGTCAACAACATAGCAAGGGGCATTCAAGGCTGTGTGTTCTCATTCGACAGGCGCCTTGCTTGAAACCAGATTGAAATTGGCTTGAGCAGATGCATATTTTTTGGATTTGCTTAATGTCTTCGCCTCATGCCTCCTTTTGGGCAAGAGCCGGCAGAAGTGCCTCAGACTCAGCACGCGCATCTCAGATTTGCAGCAGCGCCGAAGAAGGCAGCAAGAGCCCCACGGCCTTTGCCCTCAAGGGCTTTCAAGCCGGAGTCAAACGAGAGACTGGAGGCCTTGCAGCTGGGTCCCAAGCCAAAGTCCGGCTGCCAACTACGCAATGCAAGTTCAGCTTCGAAGTCCTCACAGGTCAGGCCTTTTGCTGATGAGCAGGATGAACCCTTGCGGCGCTGCGCACGGCGCCTGTCACTGCCGGCTGCGCCCTTTGGCGCAGAAGATGAGACTGAGAGTGATGGATCCTCCACATCTAGCAAATCTGAATCTGAAGCAAGCGGTGGCAAGGCGGCGCAGTCTGTGTTTGCGCTGAACTGGCAGTCCCTTGTGCAGTTTAAGGCAGGGACATTTTGGAAGGACAACACGCATGATCCAGCTGCTGAGAGAAAGAAGAGGCAGTACAACAACAGCAATCGGGCAGTAAAGGCGAAGAATGCCCGCAAATCCAGAGCTGGGCGGCACCAAAAGAATGGCTTGGACCCAACCAGAGTTGACCGCCTTCTGGAGATGAAGTCATGCCATTGCCACTTGCTTGCAGTGTGCATATGTGCGGCGCTGCGAGCAATTTGCAGTGGCTTTAACGCTGCCGGACAGGCGCCTTGAAAGTGTGCTTCCAGCAGTTCAACGCATCCAAGAAGCAGCTGGCCCTTTTCTTGGAGAAGTTTTGGAAGCTGAAGAAGCCAGATCAGGATGCGCTAGAAGCTCGATTGCAGCAAAGGTGGGGAGCAACTATTATCAGTGTATTGTTCACGCTGAGGTTCATCAGTCTTTCGCAGGCAGCAGCCAGGCAACAGAGCGGGCTCACACTTTGCTGGACAAAGCCGTTGGGCTAAAGTGCTTGGCCGCCTTGTTAGGGATGGGCCGGGACAGAGTTCGGAGGCAGGAAGCAGGCGCCCCAGACTTGCGGTGCGGCAGAAAAGAAGGCAGAAGCAGGGAGACTACGTGGTCAGTGGACGGCTTTTTGAAGATACTCTATGATTCTTTGGCTGAAACCCTTCCTGACCAGCGGCTTAGCTCTTACTTTCATTTTAGTTTGTGACGCCCGCGGGATGAAGCTGGTTCTGTGCAAGTTGGCTTTGCTGCAGGTTTGTGCGAAGGGGCCGGGCTGCTCGACGCAAACAGGACCTCGACAATTCTAGCGACAGTGACTTTGAAGAAGTTGACTCAGAGGTGGGCAACACAGAGGAGTTGGAGGAATGGCTTTCACATTCAGCCAGCAAATCCCTGCTTCTGCCTGGTCAATCTCTTGTGCAGAAGTTTCTGCCACCTGGCACTGTTGCTGATCTCTTCGAGCACTACAAGGCAACCCAGCAATTAGCTGGTGCCCCATTTGTGTCGTTGCTTGGCTGTTAGTGCGCGTTGCACCTTGAAGTCGGAGAGCAGCGCATTAAATTGCACGCTTGCCTCTGTGTCTTACATTTCTGCTCCACGTGAGGTACACTACCTTCCACAGGGTGTACACAATTCGATGGGCTTCCGTGCTGAAGCTCCGGCAGCGTACGTTGTTTTCGCAGTGCGAAGTTTGCCACAAGCACAGGCACGCGCTGAGTGACAAGACCAAGTCCATGGAAGCCAAGCTGGCTGCATTGACCGAGTACCGCAAGCACTTGCACAATCAATTTTGCGACCGGACGATTCTGTGGACATTGCATACCGAGTCGGCTGACTTCAACACAGACGTCTTGGTGATATCAATAGACGGGCTTGATCAAGCCAAATTTGCTCTTCCACGAGACGCCCAGCTTCGACCATCCGCGTCCCTGTGAGCTGACTGCAGTCAGTGTCGAAGATTGAGTCTAAACAAGTTGCTGCGCCAAGGAGCAAGCATCAGCGCCCTCGCCTCAAGGTGCATGGGGCCTGGGCATTTGGCTACGTGCTGGAAATTTTTGTCATGGACGATGTTGCAAAGCACGACTCCTCATGCATCATTGAGATACTGGCACTTACCCTCGAGAAGGACACTTGGCTTTTTGAACATAGCGTGCCTGAATCTACTAGTTTGCCATGACATACCATTGCTGGGCACAGTCCAGGTCAGACTGATCTGCACAGAGAAAGGCAAGTCGATGCCAAAATCCGTACTGATTCAGGTGCCGGTGTGTGTGTGTGTGTGACAATTTGCCAATTCTGAACAGTAGCACGACTGGATGCTGTGCGCGTCAGGCAGATAATACCGTGCGGGAGGCCAAGAATATGTATTGCCTCTCGTACCTTCAGATGCTGGTTTCAAAATTTCACGCCCGGCAAACTGGCCTACTATTCCTACGCAAATCGCACACGCACTGTAAAATAGGCATCTTGGCAGCAAAGTGATCAGCGGCTGGAATGTCTACACGCCTTATAAATTCTGAACTTGGTGGCTCTGAGACCAACTTTGGGGACTTCTTGCTCGAAGAGTGGAACACAGACAGGCTTCTGGACGCTGGCGATGTCACTGCTGTCATTGAGGACGAGCTCACAAAAGCCGCAGTTCGAGATTGGGTGGGACCACACACCAAGGTTTCAGTCCGCAAGCTGAATGCCACACGTGAATGGAGGGCGCACTATCCTGCAGGTGTACGCCTGGAAGGCGGGTTGCTGGAGGATGCTCGCGGCAACCGCTTGTTCCTGAACGTGCTGAGACAAGGCCCAGTATTTTTGAAAATATTTTTCAGTGCTTATTATTTGACCGGTTCAACTTTGCAGCTTGTTGCACTTTGCCCTGGCCAGATTTGCCGGCGCCCCTTGAACGAATAGTGGAGCGTGGCTCTTATATTGGCCCACCTGGCGGCAATGATACGGTTTGCCTCATCAAGCAGCACATGTGTGATGACCAGCTATCACAGCGACCCCTCTTGGTGCACACAGAAGCCCGCGCGCGTCAGTTTTCATTGACAGCTCCTCTGACAAAGTGTCTTGACAAATTAAGTCGGTCCCCCGTGCGCAGTCCACACACGCCTTGCCAACGAGGCTTGGGTCATGTTTGCCACACAATGAGTTCCAATCGGCCGACGGGCGTGGCAGCTAAGGCGAGCAAACAACCACACTGCTCAAAATGCTGCAGAGTGGAGGAAGTTGGCTTCTGCAGTCCACGCCTGCTATGGCCAAGAGTACAATCGCGCAGTGTCCTACCTGCAGGCCTTGGCTGCCAATAGCTTCTGGCAGAATGCCGTGCTGCCAGCCCTGCCCTGGCATGAGAGCCACCAGCTTGCCCCGGCGGGCCCGTACGATTTGAATGAGGCAGTGTTAAACGCTGTAGCTCCAGTTGTCCCTTTGAGGGCGATCTTTTCCGGTAACCGAAGGCAGTAGATCAGAATGAAGCAGTGTTAAACACTGTACGACAGCGATCTTGTTGGGAACCGCAGGCAGTAAAAAGCCAGCCGGCGAAACTAGTGTGCAACTTCATTGCGCAGATGCTGTGAAAGTTTGTTTGCTGGACGTTGTTATTGAATCCCCGCCGCAGCGTTTTGCAGTTTGTCCCACGCGCGCTGGCATGTTGAAGAAGCTGGAAGCGGCCAAGCAGCTCCAGGACCAGAAGGCAAAAGGCGAAGAGCCTGCCGGCGCCAGCCCTCCGCCCAGCAAGCAAGTGTGCGCTGCTTGGGAGCGGGGCTTGAAGAAACTTCCTGGTGGCGACCTGACCCTGGCCAAGGATGGCTACGCAAATGCGCTTGTTTTTGGTCAATGCTTCAGGAAATCATTGTTTTTCAATGTACCTTGATGCTACAACTGCAAAAATCTGCGCCAGTCTTGTGTTTTTCTCGTTTTTCAATGTACTTTACAAAAAAGTACATTGATTTCCTTCTGCGGTTTCCAAACCAAAATCAATGCACTGGTTGGCAACCAGCGCATTGAAAACCCAGGATTTCACACACACGGTTTGAAACGGGCATCATGCCAAGTGAACCCCGGGTCGAACCTACCCCCCCCCCCCCCGAATCAATGCACTGGTTGCCAACCAGTACATTGATTTTACTTCTGGGTTTCCAGATCAGAATCAATGCACTATTTTGTAATTCGTAGTGTTTGTGGCTTGGCCAGGAAGATGCAGGGGCCCCATTTTCAATGCACTGGTTGCCAACCGATACATCGAAAATGCCCGCCGGGAATCCTCCAGTACATCGAAAATGCCTGCCAGAAATCATCCAGCACATCGAAAATGCCTGCCAGAAAGCCTCCAGTACATCGAAAATGCCTGCCAGAAAAATAAGGCCCGCCAGAAATCCTCAGGTGCATCGAACACGCTGCCAGAAATCCTCCAGCACATCGAAAATGCCCGCCAGAAATCCTCCAGTACATCGAAAATGCCCGCCAGAAATCCTCCAGCACATCGAAAATGCCTGCCAGAATATTCCGGTACATCGAAAATGCCCGCCCAAAATCCTCCGGCGCATTGAGCACACCTCCAGAAATCCTCAGGTGCATCAAAAATGCCCTCCGGTGCATCGAAAAGGTCCGCCAGAAAGCCCGAAATCCTCCGGCACATCAAAAGGCCTGCCAGAAATTCTCATCATTTCTGCAACAGTGTGTCAGGGGTCAGATTATTGTGAAAGAATTGCAGAGTCACTTCATACTTTGTTCGAGTTCGTGGCCAGCTTCAAGTCACCTGCTGGCCTGCCCGGCACACGTCAGGATGCAGATTTGGACGCCCGTCCGGCCAGCCTGGTGATTGAGAACCTTGCCTCTGGCAGGCCCACGGACAAGGTCAATTTGAGTCACTTGGAGTCTTGGTACGAAGAGTGCTCCAAGCTGCTCGGCAAGCCCCAGAAGTTTGCACACACGCCGTGCGAGATCAAGTCGAGCATGGACGGGTTGCTCACTGGCGTTTGACGCTGCTCAGGTTTGCAAAGCCAGTGGACGGGCCATGCCTAGAAGACTGGATGGGCTGCTTTGAGAGCGTTCTTCGGCTCGGTGGACCTGGGCAGGGATCTCTGCAGAATGCGGGGTAGCTTCATTTGGCGTTGGCTGGCGCCCGAACTTCTTAGGCAGCATCAACTGCGAGGCTGCGGCCCTGGACCAGGTCAAAGGCTGGACAAGATCTTCTGTGCTTGCCTTGCTGCTGATAGCAGCTGCGGAATATGACCTCGGCGACCCGTTTACCATGGACAAGCTCCAACCTCTCGAGAATGCCTTTGTGTGGCTTGTCCCCTCGCACGCGTCTTGTCTTTGTAAACAGTGCGCCGCGTGGCAAGTTTGCTGACTTTGTGCCCTGAGCTGCTTGTGACCCTACTGAGATCTCCGTGAACATGGACACAGCAAAGCAGAGCTACCGGAACCTCTGCTTGTCCTACAGAGGTTCAGAGAGACAGCCGCCCAATTTGCTGCAGCTGGCCTTGCGGTTTTCGCAGATTATTGAGATGCGCGACAAGCAGGGTGTCCACAACAAGCTTTGGACCCCGGAGCAGCGGCTGCAGGAGGTTGTGGACGAATTCAACGAGACGTCAGGTCTGCAGCAGAAGCACAGGGTCGATGCTGAACGGTTTCGCTCCCTGTTGAACTTGATTTCCGGCAGCTGCGAGGCGACTTGGCTTGACATTACGACATGTAAATGACTTCATTTGCGTTTTGTAGTGTCATCCTGCAGCCAAGGAGTCCCGGCAAGTCCTTCGGCAGCACCTGAACCACCACAAGTGGCGGGAGGCCTTCAGCGTGGAGCAATTCAAGGGTAGCCGCTGGTTGGTGGGTGCGACGCCCAAGTCTACCTGCCCTCCTGACATGAAGCAAGCTCTGACAGTGACGCCTGAGTCGCAGCGCATGCACTTCGAGCTCATTGTGCACACATTCGTCGAGGGGGGCAGGAAGCTCCGGCCAAGCGCAAGGTCACGCACGCGCGCTGCGCCCGAGGTCTTTGACAGGCATGCTGACTACGCCTGCATCTTCGCCACAATCTTGACTGCTGCCCGGCAGCTGTCCACATGGACAGCTGAGAAGGAGGAACAGCTTTACAAGCTGTTCCTCCAGAAGAAGCTTGGTTGTTTTGAGCGTGTGAGTATGTGAGAGAGAGAGGGCGTGCGCGCGCACGTGGTGCTTGAAAGAAAGCAATGACTTCCAAGGGCCTACTTCACGGACATAGAGGCGGCGATTGTAGCAAAGCTGGACAGCTGGCGGGTGTCACACCTGGCGGTCTGGGCGGACTACGTGGAGCCCAAGGTGCCGACCATCACCATCAGCGACAGCGTCGACATTGGCATTGCTGAGGATGAGGCCCAGGCTGCCAGGTTCCGGGAGGTGCGCGCCAAGCTCAGCTCGGACATGATGGCAATGGCGCAGTGGAACGCACGGCAGGAAGAAAACAGGAAACGGGCACACGTGATCAGCGTGTTGCACGAGAAGAGCCAGGTTGAGACCGGCAAGAAGCTGCTTGTCTCATTGAGTAGTAGATGCTTAAAAGTTCTTAGCAGCAGTCGTTGCAAGACTTTACGTTGGAAGCCCCCAGGCTGGCAGACGCCTACATGGAGCAGTGGTGCTCTGTCAGCTTGACTCCTGGCATTGGGCCAAAGTCACCAGAGGCTTTCCTCAAGGCCGTGGCTTTTCGCAACAAGGCAAGGCAGCGCGAGTGCCACGCACGTGGCGTGTGGTGACAGTGGTGACAGTGATTGAGTTGTGCCAGGTAAGCCCTTTGGATGTGCGCCTCATCCTCTACGTCGATTGCACCAAGTTCGGGGTCATGACCCAGAAGGAAGTCAACGACGTGGCAGACACAGTGGAGAAGCATTTGAATTACGGCGCAGGTGGACTTGGTTTGAATTTGTTTGTTTCTGACGCTGCCAGATGGGCGCTAATTGATTCAATTGATTCTGATGATGATGGCAGGTGGCATCGCTGTGATCCTGCCACCTTTGTTGAGCGGCAGTACTTCTGGCGGCTCGCTCCGGCAGGACTGGCGCCGGATTGAAGACAAGATGGCTGCCAACAAGGTGGAGCTCCGACAGTTCACTCTGAACTTGGACTTGAGTGAGCTGCATCGGAACAGGGAGTTGCCGGCAGCCTACTTGTGCTTCCTGGGCGTGCAGGACCACGCGCTTCCGATGAAGGGAACCGCCCACAGAGCAGTCAAGGGTGTTCCAACCAGTGGGCAAGATGGGGTCAAGGCCAACTCGCTCCCTGGCATTGACTTGTTGCCAAATTTTAAAGCTTGTCTACGCGGCATGTCCAACGCCCTGACAAGCAACCTGAGGTTCTGCGCTTCTCCGCTGTGGCAGAAGCAGGCGTTGGCTGTGAAGGACTTCCCCTTTGCCATTCAGGAGAAGGACTTTATCATTCCTGGTGACTCCCTGCTGCACTTGAACGACCAGCGGCGCAACCTCACAGATTTCCAGGAAACGGCGCAGTGGCTTGGTGGCGTCGGCGTGCCCAAGGCCATCTTCAAGTCTTTGCTTGGTGGCTTGGCGCGCTCATGGTTGTTATTACATGTTCTTGCTTTCATCTCATGGTTGTTGGATCACGAGCCCTCAGGCGATGATGCAAAAGGACGCACCAAGCAGGTTGTGGCAGTGATCCACATGACATCCTATGACGGATGCGCAGAGCTGGCTTGCCTTCAGCTTGGGCTCCCGGTCATGGGAAGCACGCCTGTGGAAGCCAACTTCCAGTGTGCGTCCAACGCGGTTCGCAACCAGTTGCTGCAGGCGTGAGTTGATTTTAAGCTCTTGTGCCATTGTGTGTTGCGCATTTTGCTGCTCATTGAGGCGTGGAAGGACAACATTCAGCCCATGGACAAGGTGGCCCCACGGTACCGGGCAAGCCCAGCCCAGGAAGAGATGCCAGTCTCGCCAGAGAGGCCGACTCTGGAAATCTGCCAGCACCAGCAGGGAACTTTGCTGCTGCCCCGGGACATTCGACAGCATTTTTTGCAGTGCCCGCTGTGGGGCCCAGAGTGGAGGGATGTGCTGAAGGACTTCGACAAGGCATGGAGCGTCAATGCTGAGCCAGTAGCTGCTGCTGCTACAGTTGCGGCTGCTGCTGTTGACCCAGCTGCCGCAGCAGGGCCAGCTGCTGCGGGCAGCTTTGACTGGGCTGCAGTCTTCAGCGATGAGGCCAAGACAGTGGCTGCTGCGCAGGAGAAGCACGGTAAGGCCTTGGCCGAGATGACTGTGACAGGAACGCCAGGCTGCACATTGATGCTGCTAGAGGACCACGCCCTCTTTGTTTGCGCCCAGGAAGCCGTCTCTATAGACTCCAGCATGGCCTTTCTGGCACACGGGGCAGGCACGTGGCTGTTGGGGGACAAGGCGACCAAGCTCAAGGCCGAACACCCTGAGAAAGGCTTTGAGTGCAAGTGGAACAGTGATGAGGATTTGGTGGTTTTGGAGGCGGATGGGGCGGATAGTCCACCATGCACCTTGCGCAAGGCCCTCCAAACTGTGGAGAAGGGCGGCCTGGTGGACTTCACTCTTGGAGGGCATTCAGTGACACGCCCGCCAGAGGTGGCCCAGGGCCACGCAGATGACAAGTTCACCATTGTGGCGACCAATGACATTTTGTGGAAAGCAAACAATGTGGCCATCAAGAGCCTCAATCCACCTCCATCATAGTTCAGCAAGAGCCATCTACGTGGCCGCTGTTCACAAAGCGTAGCGGTGTGAAGGGTGCGGAGCTTGTTCCTGGTCGCAGGGTTGTTTGGGGTGTTGTGGGGGGGGGTGGTTGGGGAGGAGGGGGGGGGGGGGAAGGGGGGGTTGTGTTGCTGTTTCTTTTTTTGTAGTTTTTTTTATTTTATTTTTTCTGAGTTTTTTTTTTTATTTTTTTTGTTTTTTTTATTTCTTATTTTTTTTTTCTCCGTTTATTTTTTTTTTTTCTTATTATATTCAATCCAGGCTGAGCTTGGCACTCACTGTGTTGTGTCAGCCAAGGTTTGGAGGATTCGCGTCTACAACTCTGACAAGACCATTGCGGCAGCCAAGCCTCTTTGGTTTCTTCCTGCTGGCCTCAGCCTTGGAAAGGACGAGTGCAAGCGAATTGTGTAGGCCCAGGCCCAAGGCAAAGCGCTGCAGCAGCAGCTGTGAAATAGATCTGGCGCAGTCACTTGTGCCATTTTTGAGACTTAGGGCAGTGCGCGGTAACGGCAACATGAGATTCAACATGCAATGTTGTCATTTGACTGGATTGTTTGCCGCATGCCGCTTGAAGCAGTCTGGATGGGGACAAGCGACTTGCACACAGTCTGGCAGCCTGCTATTTAAAGCACTTCAAAGTGACCACAAAATTCAAATTGTTTCAAATGGTCTGAAGAACGTTGAGTTGGCTGCCTAGAGGACAAGTGGCAAGTTGCTTTGAGGTTGGCTCAGGGTGCAGTGCAACATGATGTTGCTGTAGGGAGCGCTGTGATTCAGAAAGAATCCAGACCGGCGAGGCTAAGACACAAAGAGCGCATCGAGCAGATGCTGGCAGGGCAGGGCAGGGGCATTGAATTGGTTGAGTCTTGTGCCCAAAGCTTGTTGCTACACACGCGTTCCCAGCGAGATCTCGGCTTAGGTCAGTTTTGAGTGCCGCCATTAGCAATGGCTAGGGTGCCTGCAGTTTTCAGTGTGGACGACTCTCCCATGGAGTTCCATCGCAGCCCGCTGCAGCCTGGATTGATGGCAATCCGCGACACCTCTGCGCAGCGCCCCAGCGCCCTCCGCATCCGCCAGCACTTTGCCTCGGCGTGCTCTGCAGTGGAGCCAGATGCGACCAACACGCCGCCAGCGCGATTGAAGGACCAGTGTGTCACTGCTTCAGATTCAATTGTGCATGTAAATCTGGGTCCCAGGATTTTTCTCCGCTGGCAGCTGTGCCTGAAGTGCTGCTTGGAAGCGTATTAGGGTCACTCATTATGACAGTCAGCTTTGAACACGGCACCCATTTCACATTGCTAGCCAATCACCCTTTTCAGGGGTAAAATTATTACAATCATCACCATCGCCTCATGTCTCAGTCACCATCACTCACCACTGTTATTCAATCAATGGCAGCAGAATCACAAAATGAAGACAACGTCCAGCTTGACTTCTGTTTCAGGTTTGAGGGGTGCGCACCTCCAAAGACGCTGGACTTTGCCGAGACACAGATGGATGACACTCTGCCGGCGGACGAGTGGACTGATGCGCAGCTGTGGGAGGACCCCCATGGCATGATCCCTGCCACGCAGCCCGGCCCGCTTGACGTTGACCACTTCTGTGCCGCAGGAGGGTTGGGGATGACTAGTCATTCTTGGTGTCGAAAGTGGCCATTTGTGCGCAGGTTTATATTTGAGCCCGTCAGAACTTTTGACAATTAATGGCACTGCGTGTTGTCTTGGGGAGATGTTCAGCGGCCCTTTTTGGCTGTATAATTCACTGCTGGCCCAGAATTTAGCTTGCACAGGCTTGCGGCTTGCGCGTATTTTGGAATCAGACGCATTGATTGCATTGTTTTGGAATTGGTTGGCAGCTTGGATTGGCAAACAACGCAGAGGAAAAGGCCTGGCCTGACAGGAGTCGACAAAGGCAACAAAGATGATGACAGGCAGCGTCCTGCTGAGCGGCCTCAGAAGATCCGCCGGCTCAAGAACATGGCAGCTGACACGCAGGAGGACAAGGCCTCAGCTGCTGCAATGCAGCCGGAGCAGGAGAAGGCCTCATCCACCACAGAGCAGGAGAAGGCTTCATCCGCCACAAACCAGGACCAGGAGAAGGAGCAGGAGAAGGAGCAGGAGAAGGAGCAGGAGAAGGCCTCATCCGCCACAGAGCAGGAGAAGGCCACAGAGCAGGAGAAGGCCACAGAGCAGGAGAAGGAATTCACCACGGAGCAGCAGGAGAAGGCCTCAGCTGCCACAGAGCCCAAGAAGGCATCAGCCACCAAGCAGAAAAAGGCCTCAGAGCAGGCCCATGGGGCAGGGCGGCAGCTCAACAAGCTGACGCCGGAGAGCAAGAAGAAGGAGGTGGAGCGCCGCAAGGAGCAGAACCGGGCAAACTCTCGGATTTGGCACGAGAAGTACGTGAAGAAAGGCGTTTTGCGCACACCGACCTCCACAGCGCCGCCAGCGCCGCCAGCGCCGCCGGCTTTGCAGGTGGCAGTGAGGTCCATGAAGGATGCTCAGCACAAGTTTGTGAAGGAGTGGATTACAACATGCGGCCTTGAACCCAGCCAAGAGCGACGCCAAATGGCTTTGAAAGCTTGGATGGCCAGCCCTTTGCGTGCTGAGATCCTGGCTGGCCGAGTTGCAGTTCAAATGTAGCCGCCGGCCAGTTTGGTTGTTCTAGCCTGAGTGGGCCAAGTGGCCCTTGCCCAGCCGGCAGCCTGTCTTCCGGGTCAAATACTGAGGTCAGGAAAGAAAGTCTGCATGAGTGAGGTTCATTTGGTTTCCAAGACAGGCTGAAAGGCCACATGGGATGGGCTGGGCTTAGTGCAACTGCTGCAGCCGCAAGAGGCAACAGCTGAGTTGAATTATTTGGGAACCAGTTGCAATCTGTCTTGAAATTGGTTTGGCCCTGCCAGCGAGGCTGGCAGCAAGAAGGGCCCCTATCCAATGATTTGTGAACAAGGAGAAAAATGCAACCACATTGTAAACGTTCAGAATGGCCTTGCCCATTTCAATACAGCATTGTGTTGACACCCGGGGGGCATTGGGGCGCACAGGGTCACTACAGTGTGCCGCAGCCAAAGGCAAAAAGGCGTCCCTGTGCTTGCTGCTCTTGCAACAAACTGCTTGGCATGACTTGCAACATGTCTCCCGGTCTCCTGGCACTCGCAGGGGGAAGCGGCCGCCGGCTGCGGGGCTGCGGCAGCTGGGCTGCAGCGGCTGGGCCTCTGGCGCAGCAGCTTCATGTTACATGGTGCGTGTCAGGCAGCACGGCAGCTCGGAATTAAATGCCTTTTTTGGGCCGACTTTCAGCTTCCAGCGGGTTGTGCCTTTTGGCGGGCTATTAGTTAGTTCAATGTCAACTCGCCTCAGTTCCAGATTCACAAGGTATCAGAATGTGAGACAAGGAAATATCAGTACATGGTCTGCCATAGTTGCTGCAAGCTCGCGTTTCCGAGCAGGGACTCAGCAACCTGATTTTCGGTAAGCCTGCCATATGACTCCCAGACGGAGTCAGTGGTGATACGAGCAAAGCTCTTGCCAACTTCGCTCTTGACATTGGTCAGCTTCAAATCATTTATGCTTCGCTGCCGGCCAGAATGAGACCGAATGTTGGAGATCTTCACAGAGCATGTTGCCGGGGGCGTGTAGGACTTGCGGATGCGCCGGATGGCAGCCGAAACCACATCCTGTGGGCAACTGGTCGCAGGCAATCAAAGTGTCAGCAGCAGTCCTGGAAAACATAACGCTGTACTAAGTGTCAGGCAAGTGGCTTTGTTCCGCCGCTGGAGCTCTGCGTCTTCACGGAGGGCTGGGAACAAGTAGTCCTCGTTCTTCTTTGGCCAGACCCACTCATCTTGATAGGTGCACACGCCCCGACTTCCCCACTTGCGACTCCGAGGCACTCGTTCACCACCATTTGCTTCGAGCTTCCTCAAGAAGTGCTCAGCGCTTGGCGTGATAGGCTTGCGGATTTCCCCATGCCCTTTGAGCGCAGGGACTGTCAGCCACTTGTCCTGGAGGTTGATGTGGACTAGCTTCAACTTGAGCACTTCAGTCACCCGGCAACAGAACAGGTGTGTGAAACACACCACCACCCAAACCCAGGTTGGGCCAGTTGCCCAGACGTGGTTTGCCCACGCACGCCAAGCATCTCCTGTAAGCGACTCAGCCTTGCCTAGTTTTTTTGATTTGGCTTTTGCGCTCTTGGCCTTCATGACTTTCATGGTCTTTGTGGCCTTTGTCGCTTTCATGGTCTTCATGGCCTTCATGGCCTTCATGTCCATTTCCTTCATGCTTTTCATGGCAAGGGGCAAGGAATCCAAGGCGTTCTGAGCAGCTCCAAACACTGCGAAGTAGCATCCCATTGCTGAACAAGCAGTGGCCAAGCGCTGAGCAAGTGCACTTCCTGCAGCAGTGCTGAACAAGCACAGCAGCAACTCTGGGCTGAACAAGCTCAGTGACAGGCGCGCTTGTATGACTCGACTTCATGCATGTGTTGGGGGCGTGTTGTGAAAGGCAGGTCGCCTTTGCACCTTTGAGGCATGGTCGCTAACTCACCGGAAGGCGACCTCCCCCTGCTCAAAGGCGACGTCCCAAGACCCGAAGGCGACCTCCCCGTGGTTAAAGGCGACCTTCCAGGACCCAAAGGCGACCTCCCTTCCCTGGGTTCCCCAGCTTGAATGTACTGCCAAGGCACTCGCTGGCTCGCGCGCCCGCAGCGAACGACAGCGGCCGCTGGCTGCTCAGCCTCATTTAGACCCCACGTGCTTGTCCAGCACTGAACTGCGCTTGTTCAGCACAGCATTCAACACTCAGATTCAGAAGTGCTTGTTCAGCACCTCCAGCACTGAACTGCGCTTGTTCAGCACAGGGTTCAACACTCAGAAGTGTTCAGCACTGTGTGCTTGTCCAGCACTGAACTGTGCTTGTTCAGCACAACGTTGACCTGAGTGCTTGTTCAGCACTGTGTGCTTGTCCAGCACCATGCCATGT